TAAGATGCCTTGCCTCAGACACCTAATTTCTTTTGCAACTCTGATAACGCACATGAAAAGTTTTACAAATCAAAACAACCTTTCACTCCACAATTACATGCTTAGACATTTATCTTGTAGAGAGCATCTGAGATGTCTGTAGAATAGCAACCACAGTACTAAATATAATAGCGAACATTTTGAAATAATCTTAGTATAAAAAACATCAGAATTGCCGGGCGGTGGTGGCGCACGCCTTTAATCCCAGCACTCGGGAGGCAGAGCCAGGTGGATCTCTGTGAGTTCGAGGCCAGCCTGGGCTACCAAGTGAGTTCCAGGAAAGGCGCAAAGCTACACAGAGAAACCCTGTCTCGAAAAAACAAAAAAAAAACAAACAAAAACAAAACAAAAAAAAAACATCAGAATTCTCTTGGTAAATTTGGTTCAGCTACTGAAGGAAATATTGGTCAGCTATTAAAATTATTAATTGAAGGATTGTGGGAGCCAGAGGAGTCAAGGACACCACAAGAAAACTCACAGAATCAACTAACCTGGGATCATAAGAGCTCACAGAGATTGGGCTGACAACCAGGGAGCCTGCATGGGACTGACTTAGGCCCTCTTATATAAATGTGACAGTTGTGTAGTTTGGTCTTTTTGTGGGACTCTAACAGTGGGAGCAGGGGCTATCTCTGACTCTTTTACTGACTTTAGGGACTCTATTTCTCATATTGGGTTGCCCTGCCCAGTCTTGATACATGAGGAGGTGCTTAGTTTTACTGCAACTTGATATGCTGTGTTTTGTTGATTTTCATGGGAGGCCTGCCCTTTTCTGGATGGAGATGGAAAAGGAAGGGATTGGAGGGTAGGAACAGAGGGGAGGGTCTGGGAGGGGAGGAATGGAGGAGCCTGTGCCTGGAATATAAAATACATAGATGTATAAATTTATTTAAAAATTATTAATAGAATATGTAAATAAAAGTATTTTTAATATATTAGTGAGGGTTAAAATCAAGTCATCAAACTAAATTTTTTTTGAGACAAGTTCTCATTGTATATCCCTGGCTGGCCGGGAACTCACTATATAGACAAGGTTGGCCTTGGTCTCTGTCTCCCACGTGCTAGTGTACCATGCTTGCTTCTGCTTTTTCTTCTTCTTCTTCTTTTTTTTTTTAGATTCCTGCCTGGTTCAAAATAAAGAGAGGCTGGAGATATAGCTCAGTAGTAGAGTACTTGCTACTTTCTACAGGGGCCCTTCATTTTATCTCTGGACTGGGAGAAGAGAAGAAAAAAAAAAAGAAAACAGAAGAACTTGAACCCAGACAGACAAACAGAAAATATGTCAACTAAATTTTGGAATGTGTTATATCTGAGTAGTGGGATTATTGATAATTACCCTTTTCCTGTTTGCCTTTACTGCTGTAAATTTTTTCTAGTGAATGTATATTGCCTTTGAATTTAAAGAAGATAACATGAAGATTCAATCCATATTTAGTCTCACTGTCCTATTTCTGTAACACGACTTTAAACATTTTAGCATATTTTTACACACATAAGTGGAGCTTCTATGTGTATTTTCATATTCCATATGGATATTGAAAATATTTCTGACTTCTAGGACTAGTCCCATTCAGGCAGATCAGTTTCTTTCTGAGTGCACATGGCCACAGGCCTGACCTTTCTGGAAGGTATGATACGACATGGTTTGAAAGGTGTGAAGATGTTTCACCTAGCTCATCAAAGCTCAGAGCTTATGGCTGACATTCTACCACCAGAGAGTCATCCCTCAGGCTTATGGATTTTTACCCCATTAAAATGCAAATAACCAGGGAGAAGTATACATTAAACTTTACCTGTCACCTGCATTAAATGAGTGTAATGTATCGTTTTCTGGGAATAGGTTTTAATGGGGAAGACATGGGAATCTAAGGGGGGAGCAGAGAGAAGAAAGTATGAATGAATATACATGGCATCTGAGGAATAATTAATATTCATAATAGTAATATTTTTATTTATGGTTTATGAGTCACTAAGGAGTATGTTATCACATTTAATCTTAATTAAATTAAATAGTCTGGCTGTTGCCAAGACAATCTTCAGGCTTCATAATTTTTCTAGCGGAATTACTAAAAGCTATAGTCCTACTCATGGAGAAATCCTCCTCTAACTTTCCCCCTTTGTCTTCTAATCATGTGTGGGATTAAAAGATTGTCCAAATAACTAGTGAGGGTAGAATGAATCAGAAAAACATTATTATTTATTACTTAATCCATTATTCATGTATTTAAAAAACAATACTAACATTATCTAGGAATTTTTGTTGTGAAAGTTAGTGACCGACTGGAAACAAAAGAAAATATCTAGTCAAATACTTTACAATATTTGTGAGCATGTATCTATTCATTAGCCAATTGAGAATAAAAGAGACAGGAATATGGTGGTATTTTATTTGTGCTGAAATGTGGTGATACTTTATTTGTATGTTAATAAATAAAGTTTGCCTGGAGATCAGAGGTCATAGTCAGCCATAAATAAAAGTCAGGCAGTGGTAGCACATGCCCTTAATCTGATCACATGGCAAGCAGAGTCTCTCTGTGTGGTCAAGGACACAGCCAAGCGTGGTGACACACGCTTTAATCCCAGTACCAACCATAGAGACCTGGAGGTCTGTACAGACAAGCAGTGACAAGGAGGTCATGTGGCTGGGCTTAGAGCCAATGAGAAGGCAGAACAGCAAGGCAACAAAAGCACAGGTTAGACAGGAAGATGTGGCTCACTTGGGAAGCTACATCAGCATGGTGAGCTAAGGTTAGCTGGTGGCTCTCACTATTTCTCTGATCTCTACGGCTTTCACCCCTGTATTTGGCTCTGTGTTTCTTATTTACTAAGACTGTTTAGAGATTTGTCTACACAGGAAAGGACAAAAATTAGCAATAAAAGAATGGAGAAGGAGTGGTGATGTGGTTCAGTGGGGAAAATGTCTGCTGTGCAAGCATGAGGGCCTGACTTCAGATTTCTAGTCCCTACTTCAAAGCTGGGAAGAGTGGTAGCTCTGTAACCTCAGTGATATAGAGGTAGAGACAGGGGATTCTCCAGAACTAGATAACTAGTCACTTAAGCTGGTTTAGTGAATTGAAGGATCAGTGAGAGATCCTGTCTTAAAAATATTTTTTTTGTAATCAATTTGTAATCAAAGAGCACAATAAAGAAAACCATCCAGTATTGACTTCTGTTCTCCATATGCATGTGCATATATGTGTACATTCATACCTGCATGCATATGTGTACATGCCCACACCTGTCCTTAGTGCATGAGCTGGCTTTTTGGAGCCTGGGGCCTATGCTGGGACACTTGGCTCAGCCTGGGTGAAGGGAGGAGGGAACTGGACCTGCCTCAACCGAATCTACCAGGCTGAGCTGAATCCCCAGGGGAGTCCTTGCCCTGAAGAAGATGGGAATGGGGGGTGGATTGGAGGGGGGCAGGAAGAGGGAGGACAGGGGAATCCGTGGTTGATATGTAAAATTAAATTAATTATAAAAAAGGAAGTACATATACTACACAGGCACACAGAGACACATACATAGACACACATGCAACACACACACACACACACACACACACACACACACACACACACACACCAGTTGTTTGAAGGGAGACCCTGCAGAATAACTTCCTTCTTATATATAAATTAAGTAAAGCTGCAGTGCAATGGTTAAAAACAGACTCTGTAACCATCTTCTTAAATTTGAATTCTGGCTTGCTTATAAACCTGCTGTGTAAATGCAGATTTCTTAATTTCATCATCAATAAATGATTATAATTTCCTCATCATTAAAATGAGTATAATACTTGAACAACCTCATGGACTTGCTAGAAGAACCAAATCAATTAATGTTTGTAAAATTGCATATCACAAAGTAACCGCATTAAGTGATGTTAAAACCACCTACATAATCATGTAGGACCCCAAAATAATATATCAAATGCTAAGAGGTATTAATTATATGGAGTAGAACTGTGGCTTTTAAGTACTCCAACACACACACACACACACACACACACACACACACACACACACACACACACACAAATGTTTCTATGGAAATGTATTATATATATATATATAATTTACAAATTACAAAGTAAATGCAGTTATACATATATATACATAGTACATTTCCATAGAAACATATATAACCATAGAGATATTAAAAATTAACAAAACTAATTAGAGGAAAACAGGTGCTTGCCAATTAGATATGCATTGTGATACTAATAGAATGTTCCAGTAAATCTTTCAGTAAACTAAAGCTGTCTTTCTTAGTATTAATTACAAAACATGTAATTTTTATTATAACATATAAATAATGCAATTGATTACAAATTTCAATGAACAAATCATGAAAACTGGTAAATAAAAGGAACAGTGAAAATGAAGGATAAAGAGAAGTAAGGATAATTAAGGAAAGGGAACAATTGGAGATGAAAGAATTTAATGACTTTTGTTACGAACTATAGCTGGGTGTGGTGTCACATGTCTGTAATTCCAGCACTTGAGAGGCTGAGGCAAAGGACAGTGAGTTTGAGGTCAGCTTCAGGCATGTAGTGAGACCTTGTCTTACAAAAACAAAGGCTAGGAATTTAGCTCAGTGGTACGACAGTTGCTTCGCATGAATAAGGCACTGAATTTCATCTCTAGCACAGAAAAAATTAGACTCATAATAACATATATTGAGTGATGTTATCATGATGATACAATGGTCAGCTTTACAGACAGTGATACTCAAAATATTCATGAAGTCAGTACTGGAGAACAGACTACAGGAAACAGTTGCATTTTAGCTGGTGACTGGAGAAAACCATCGAACTAGGCCTTGTGTTCCACCAAGCTACAGTTCAGGGTGAAACATAACCTCTCGTGTATCTGACCGAGATGCCTGTTAATTGAACTCTTTCTAATGTTTAGCTACCAAGACACAATGAAGAGGTTAATCAGTGAACAGTGACAATGGCTTACTAGAAAGGAAGTGCTGGGATGCTGGTCCAAAGTCCCTGTGGGCTTCATGCAGCTGCCTGACACGATCCTCCACAGCCACCTGGGAGGAGAGAGAGAGAAATGATATTTTCTCAGCATTTTTAATGAAGAACAATTAAAATACTGTTTCCTTTATGGTGAGATGTTTTGGGTCTCTAAGGCTAAGAACAGCAAAGCAACAATTCATAACTCTGGTTTTAATATGTCCTAACTGTAAATGGTCTTCAAGACTCATTTTTACCAAACCAAGTTCAAACACAAATAACTTGTTCTTTTCTGACAGTTATAAAATGATACTTTTTACTCTCTCTTCATTGGAAACCACCAATAAATTCCACATTCTAATTTATTTTACAAAATGCTGGGGAAATTGTCACAGATATTATACTGAGTATTGATAGTATCTTGTAAATATATATTTGGCTTTGAGTCTTTGACTAATGATTTTTGTTAAATTAATTTTAATTACTTATTACTAGTTATAGAGTTTTACTTAATTCTTAACAATAAACAACCAAAGGTTGGCAGTAATTGTTAGCTTGGCACTGATGTCACCCACCTGAAATTTTAGTAATTGAGAGGCTGAAGTAGGAGGATCATGCATTACAGCTATCGAGAGCTATATAGTGTAACCCTAACTCAACTCAACAAAGGAGAACAAAGCAAATTGAAACAAAAAGTACAGTAAGAAATTAAGTTAAAAAAGGATGAGTTGGAGAAATAGTTCCGTCACTACAGTTCTTGCAGTGACAAGGACAAGGACTTGAGTATGATGAGTTCTAGAACGTAAGTCAGCGGTTCTCAACTTTGCTAATGCTGTGACCCTTTAATAAAGTCCCTCATGTTGTGGTGACTCCCAACCATACAATTATTTCATTGCTACTTCAAAACTGTATTTTTGCTACAATTATTAATTGTAATGTAAATCTCTGATATGCAGAATATCTGATATGTGACCCTGTGAAATTGTCATTAGACCCCCAAAAGGGTCTCGCCCCACAGGTTGAGAACCACTGATGTAATTACTAGTACTGTGTATGGTGGCACATGCTTATAATGCTAGTGCAGGGGAGGAGGAGACCAGAATATCCCAGGGTTTTCTGGCCAGTCAATGTACCTAAATTGGTTTTTCCAGGCCATTGAGGAACACTGTCTCAGAGGAAGTGGATGGTGTTCATGATGATGACACCTGCAGTTGTTTTTAGGTTCCCACATGAGCACACACATATATGCATACATACCTATACACACATTCATGTATACACACACACACACACACACACACAAAATAGAGGCAAAGCTTAAATTTGTGGTAACATAGGGTAGGTAATGAGATGAAAGAAATTTTCAGAGTTCAGTTTTCAGCACATTTAGAAATTAATAAGAAATATGCCCCAGGCAGCATGGAATAAATCTTGTCATTCTTTTTTCCTATTATGTTTTTCTATAATACGTTTACACACTGTCCTGTTTAAACTTACTGAATTCCATTCTTGGTAGGGAAAGGGGGAGACCTTTTGGAAGGTGTGAAATGATACACTTTGTCATCTGGCATTTCACCAACTCAGTATTAGTGGTGGCCCCAGGCATCCTCCTCAATAACTCTGGATCTTAGTTAGGTTGTCAACAGTCCATGCTAAACAAGGAAATGTTCAGAGAGTGCCCATAGGCACCAGAATTTAGGTTCTTGTGCTGTGCAGAATCATCTGTAAAGAAAGCAGTTCTCAATCTCATTAAGTAGTCTAAACTAATGTAAACCCTGACTTTGCAATGTCAATGAAATACCTAATGTAGATCTATAATTTTTTACTCTTTCTCTAGCTTTGTCTATCTTTGGTTGAGACTCACTAAGCAAGGTTTCAAAATGATGCAAGATTTCCCTCACTATTATATACAGGGAAGCACTAGAAACATTTCAGATTTGTTTACCCGGGTTTAGACCTTTGCTCTGTCAGCCATACTCTAACTGCTGAGTCCACCAGCCAGCCAGCTGTCCTGCAATATTCCATATACATACATACATACATACACACGTATGTACATATATACATATATATGTTTCATGTCATCATTATACCTCTGCAGAAGGCCCTAACCACCTTCTCTCCCACTGATTGTATGCTAGGGCTGAAGTGCTTAATTTTTTATCACCAAGGTGAGAATTAATTGCTTCCTCGGCATGCTCATAGCACATGGTCTATACATGGGGCATTTGTATAGAATCATGCAGTAATCACAAGGAAATGAGTGCCTCCTAAAATAGACCGTGAACCTCTTGGGGGTGGGGGCTTCTCCTTGCATGTGCATGTCCCCACTCCTCCCTTCATATGACTCCCTGGAGTCTGTATAGTGGAAGTGATAGCAAATAGTTGCTTAAAGACTAATTGTCAAAATAAATGGATCCTAAATTTCATGAGTTCCCACTAGTTTGCATTGGTTGTCTATGTAGGTTTCCCCATCATGATATGATGCCCTTGCTGCATAGAGAGACAATTGTGTAGCTTGATCTGCTCAAGGGGCCCTCTGGCAGTAGGATCAGAATCCATCCCTGGTGCATGAGTTGACATTTTGGAGCCCACTACCTAAGGTGGGACACCTCGCACAGCCTTGAGGCAGGGGGAGGGGCTTAGACCTGCCTCTACTAAATGTACCTCTTCATGGAGGCCTCACTTTCTTATAAGAGGGAATGGGGGATGAGTTGGGAGGGAGAGGCTGGAGGGGCAGGAGGAGGGAAGAGTGGGATCTTTGGTATGTAAAATGAATAAAAATATTTTCTTAATAAAACAAAACCAAAACCAACCAAACAAAAAGAATTCTCTTAAAAAAATGGATTATGTATCTGTATGTGTGCATCTTGGGGCGGGGGAGAGCAAGAGGCAGAGGGAAAGAGAACAAAAAAGAATATCCACCAATGTTCATTGTATATCTGTGATAGACAGTTTTATGTGTAAATTTCACTCTTCCTAAAATAGACATTATTTCTAAGTGTCTCTGTATAGGTATTTTTAAAATGATTTAAAAAATGAAACTGGCATTGGAATTTATAGTTTCAGCAGAGTAAATTGCCTTCCCCAAGGTGGGTATGCTTTATGCAAATCAGCTGAAGGCCTGAAACAAACAATAAAAGTAGGCTCGTTTCTGTCCTGGTCACCTACTTCAGCTGGGACATAATCTGCCCTGGGACTGAGATTTACTATTTTACCTTTGGACTTGGACCTGCTCTCTACCACCAGCTGTTCTGGGTGTCTAGCATGTTGACATAAGATCACAAAACTTCTTAGCCTCCATAGTCTTATGAGCTAAAACCTTCCAAGCAAATCTCTCTCTCTCTCTCTCTCTCTCTCTCTCTCTCTCTCTCTCTCTCTCTCTCTCTCTCTCTCTCTATCTCTATCTCTATCT